GAGGCTTAGGGCACTCCTCTATGTATTCTGTGATGTTGTGTTAATGTCTGAGAGTCCTATTTGTTGATTCCAAACTGAGAACTGCCTTGAGCGTCCAGGCTAGTCCTAGGAAGGCTTAAGGCAGTCCTCTATGGATTCTGTGATGTTGTGTTAAAGTCTGAGAGTCCTATTTGTTGATGCAAAACTGAGAACTGCCTTAAGCATCCAGGCTAGTCCTAGGAAGGCTTAAGACAGTCCTCTATGGATTCTGTGATGTTGTGTTAAAGTCTGAGAGTCCTATTTGTTGATGCCAAACTGAGAACTGCCTTAAGCATCCAGGCTAGTCCTAGGAAGGCTTAAGGCAGTCCTCTATGGATTCTGTGATGTTGTGTTAAACTCTGAGAGTCCTATTTATTGATGTCAAACCGAGAACTGCCTTAAGCATCCAGGCTAGTCCTAGGAAGGCTTAAGGCAGTCCTCTATGGATTTTGTGATGCCTTAATGATGAAAGTCTGCTTGTATATGCAAAAGATAAGACAAGATACTATCATAGCTTATGACAATGTTGTTTCTGTACATTATCTATATTTGTACCCCAAACCTAAAAAGACACAAACCCAAAAAACTGTTTGTCTGTACCTAGTACATACAAAAACCCAAAAACCCAAAAACATTAGTGCCTTGTCTGCTTTTAAACAAAAACCCTTGTATCCTGTTCATCCAAAAACCATCTGCATGCAACCTACTCATGAGCATTAACATCCTCCAATGATTGTATCACCTCTTTCATTGTTGTTGTGTCTGCACTCATTGAAATTGGTAGTTCCCCCATCCCCTGTAATATGTCTTTACCAATATGGGGTAGTTTGTAGTTGTTCCCACCCTTAGCTTTCAAAATTTCATTCATACACAGTTGTAGTGATACCCATACATTGTTCAAAGTATGAGGGCTGAAGCCCTCAAATGCATTCCTCACCCCTGCCACCAACTCTGAAACTGTTGAAGTTGCTGTTGTTTGTTGTAAGGACTGAATTGCTCTAAATAAGCCTAGGTCTAGCACATTCACATCAGGACTATTAGGTGGTTGGCATGATAGTTTGATGTTAAATCCCCCACTAGTAGCCTCCTTCATGAACTCACTGTCATTAGGACTTATATGTGGCTTGGCATTATCTTGTTGTATATATATGTCCCCATATGCATCAATTGGCCACTTGGCCTTGATGGCAGACAGAACTTTACTGATTAGGCATTGTTTGTAAACATCTTTTGTGACACTGTCAATTGCCTTCTCTTCAATTGTCCCTACAATTCTATTTTTGTTGTTTCTTTTTGTTGGCTCAAATGATGTGAAGGGAAAAATACCAATTTTCCCATCAAATAAGACTTGTGAGTCTTCTGATAGCCTGGGCCTAGCAACAGCACAGAGGAACATCACTTTGGTGATGAACCTCTTGGACTTGCAACTCATGTGAGGTTCCTCTTCCCCTGGAAGCAGGTAGTACCTATTTGAGGTTTTGGTCATATAAAACCATTTTTCATCTACATGCACATAGTTAAACATGGGCTGAAACACTGGTTGTGTTGACATTGATTCTGAGACAATGTGTGAAATGACCCATTCAAGTCTCTTAATCATGTTTGACTCAGTAAGAAAGGGTTTGATAGCATTTATGTGTGCCTTTAATTCACCTTTTTGTATGAGTCTGTGCACTATACTTTTTGAAAAACCCATTGCTGCAGCTAGGCTCCTGATATTCTTTCTTTTATCAAGCTGTATTTCCTTAACATGAGTAATACGTAGAATCTTTGATTTTCTGCCTACCTTACCAGCCATCTGTCTGTCCACATTAATAGGTAAACCTTCCATCTCACATTTCTTTATTTGCTTCCAAATGAATGAGATACACCTTTGTGACACATCATTTTCTGTTGCAAGTGCAGTTAGTACTCCTCGGTTGAGCCTACCATTTGTACAGTTGATGAGAAGATACTGCATGATGCGTTGCCTTGCTTCATTGGACAATCTCTTTTTTTTTGAACTATTTCGGCCATGTCTTTGACCTTACCTCTTCTTCTTTGTACTTAAGCTATTTTGAGAAACATTTGGTCGTATATATAGACTGAAATCTGTAGTTTTTCTTTTGGGAGGGAAGTGGACAAATTATTGAAAATTCCCGGCACTACTTTAGTTTTTTTTCCTGGCCGCTACTTTTGTTTTGATGTACTGTTTGTTGCAGTAAAAAAGCCTGCTACCTTTTTAGTGTACTGTTTATTACCCTATTATTTTGGAGAGTTACCCCCTTTGTTGGCCGAAATATCTCAAGGGCACAAGTGGAAAGTCAAAGCACAAAAGTGCCTTTTCTTAACCTCTGTGCCCAGTCAAAACCGAAAATAAATCTGGGACGGAGGGAGTAATTTCCAATCATTCAAGTCCTAAATTGATAGTTTTCCATCCTTCGGGTCCTATATCGATACATTTATCTTTCAGGTCCCGGATTGATAATTCATCTATCTTACGGGTCCTGAATTGATAAAATTCCTTTTTAGAAAAGGTGTAGGCAAAGGTTCTTAGCCAACACGGATTTTGATGATTGGGGACATCTTAGTGCTAGACTAAGAGAACATGAAACAGGTGTGGATCATATGGGTAACATGAGGACTTGGGTATAATTGAGGCTTCGTTTAAAAAAAATGAGAAAATTGATAAAGTAGCGATTGACATTGATAAAGTAGACTCAATGGATTGACGTTGATATCCATAGAATCTGAAACACTCGAATAGATTGACATTGCAAGTTTGGTAGACGACTTTGCATCAAAACATGCTCGAAGAATGTCTCTTTTTAAATAAACTATAAGTTATTATTAACTATTTTTATTTTTATCATTACGTTTATTGGTAACTTGTATTTTAAGACAACTTGCTTGTGTTGGAACTTGAAAAAGACCCAAATTTTATTGTTGCATTGGGTCTCCATTTTCTCAGGACCGGTCTTGGTCGTCATGGACTCCAACCTAGACAACTGGAAGCTAAAAGAACAACATGTGAGCAGAAATTGAACAAGCAATTTTAAAGTAGAGCATGGAATGAAGCCGAGATGCGAAGTCACTAGGCCTAGCTACTCTTCTGGCGCGGTGCTGCACAACAACAACAGAGCAATTACAGAGATGGTGGAAATCAACTATTTCGATGCATAGCAGAAGCATAGCAGGCGTAACAACTCCATGTGCACAAGAAGGTCGAAGATGGAGCCACCTACTCACTCCTGCGGGACTCCAGTGCAAGACGGTCTGTGATTTGTCTAGTGCAAGATGATCTGCTATTTGCCTAGTGCAAGAGGATTTGCGATTTGCATGATGCAAGGTTTGCGAATTCTTTTAATAGGAAATAGTACCGTTTTGGGATCGGTGCACCGTGTTCGGTGCTCACGGTGTACCGATCTTATGATATAATTGTTCGTTAATCCCGTATACATGTGATATTCTTGTCTTCGGTACCGCAAAGCTCTACATGAACTACTTACTCATCCCACACAAACTTCACTCGTTTGTGAGTTTATCTGTAAGCTTAATTATAGATGAGGTCATAATATAAAAAAAAGCTTATCAATGATTTTTTGTGGTGATAATTAAGCCAAGAAAGCACTGTACATACTTATGTTACGTAGTGAGAAATGACCTTAAATAAGACTAACATGTTTTCAAATTATGTTAGAATACGTCTGCTATGTTTTTCATTTTAAAATATGAGTCATCGTTGCTGTCATGATTGAAAAATAGTGTCATTATTTATAGTAAATACTGATATGTTAATGTCTAGTACTGCAATAATGACTCTAATAAGATGATAGTAAATAATGTCATATATATTACTCCTACTTTGTAAAGAAAAGCATAACAATCTTATTTTGCAATTCAAAAAACCTATATAGTCCTATTTTTGGAACCTTTTCTTACGTTGTTTGCTTATCTCCATTTATTTACCACCTCAGTAATTTTTATCTTGTGAATGGCAATCGATAAGCCTAATTATTTTTAATTTTCTTTTGCGGTTTTCACAATTGACATCATTAATGTAATTATGATTACTTTTTAGTTCAAATATGTGCATATATTATTTTGAATTATTAAAAAAGGGTTTTTCTAAAATATTACTACGTACTTAAATAAAATTTATTTATACAAATATGACTAATAGCTACTACAATGTAGTGTCATGGTAACTTAAATTTAAAAATTGAACATAAATTACTATGATTTTATTACTACTTTAGTCACTAGTCACATTTTTGTAAACAATCTTTATTTATATGTAATAGGAAGTAATTTCTTAAAAAATCACATGAGCGCAAAGTGATAATTAACTTTTAAAGTTACACACACTGGCATGTACTAATTAAGATATGTCAACTTTCCAAGATTAGCTGTGCTTTAATTTGATTAAGGGTATGTCATGCCAACTCTTCCCACTGTTCAAAGTAACCCAATACTTTTTTATCAAACGCATGCTTAAGCGCTTAAGCATGTATTTTATAAACAAGAAATATACCTTACCAATATAATGTACCGTCCGATACAAAGCTCGACTCAAGCTCGATCGCACCAAATAAATACCCATCCCTACAAATTTGCGACTAGTTGTAAATTTATAGTATAACATCATTGTGATCTGATGATCACAATCACAATCACAACGACTTCGTTATGACCAAAACTATCTACCAAAAAGACAAAGAGTATGAGTGATCCACAGATGAACTCCATCCATCAAGGGCTGTATGAGCAGTGGTGGGCAGTGTCCAGTTTTGGATGCAAAACACTTTTCTTTTTGAAACAAATTCCAAGTGGACTATCTATTTGGCAAAGCTTGCGGGGAATTTGATGTCAAAATGATCTTTGGTGAGTCAAATCAACCTGGCGCTGAAAAAAAAGTCAACCCAAGTTCTAGTCATTCCATCTCCAACCACACCTACAGATCTTATATATATCCCTTCCAACTTGTTCTGGTCAGTAGTGATGATGAGCTTCCCTACCTTCTCCTTTAAAAACCAACAGAACGCTTCCATTTCGGTTTCACAAAACCAAACTCATCATCAAGAAAACAGGCTGCCAGGACCCAAGATCGAGGCCTGGAATCTTGATTTCCCACAAGATCTTCACCCAAATATATACACCTCTTACATGGCGGATGATCAATATCAACTGGGCAGTAGTGGGAATTGGTGGGTAGCGACTTCCTCCTCCTCATCATCATGTTCTTCCTCACCAGTTTCAAGTACAGTCCATATGAGTAGTTCCCTTACTAATAGCGTTAGCATGGGAATCAGAAACTTGGGCTGGGCGCCGCCGCCCGGGAATATGGTGGTGGACGTCAGCAAGACAAGGTCTTCTTTGGATTCTTCATCCGCCGCCACCTCCGGCGGAGCACTTGTGGATCCTAGCCTCCAAATGATGGCCTTAGGCCTTTCTTCTCAATCAATCGATTGGAACCCATCTCTTTTGTAAGTCCATGCACCCATTCAATTCATACTATTTCTTGCTTTACCTCAAATTACATAGGAAATTAATTGCCTTGATCTTCCTTATCCTACTCTAGCCTTGGTTAGATTCGTTAAGAACAACTGTTTGACCTAACATAATTCTTATAAAGTTGTTGACAAGGTAAAAATAAAGTTTTAACGAGTTAGTTGGTAAAGAAAAGTAAATTTTATTAAGGCCTTCTTTTCAATTCTAAAAGCTCAACTTTATAGAACATGTAGTTCAAGATTTTATTATCTCCTTCTCAATATGATTTGTAAAAAATGACAGACAAAAGGTTAAAAATAAAGCTTGGGTTTACAATTTTATCTCATCTCCCATAAGTAGCTAGAGGAATTCAAGTAAATGGAAAATGATAAGGAGTATAAATAATGTTAGATAAAAAATGTTAGATTTGTCACTTTATTTAAGTCGATAAAAAAAGAAAAGTCTTGCAAATCAATTTGAGACGGAGAGAATATTAAGTTTATATTTCGTATTTTAGGGTGTTTGAAATAAATTCTGTATTTTTTTTCTTTTTGAAAGTAGAAACATGATCAGTTTTTCAAAAGTTAGTTTCCCCCGTTTCTAAAACTCATATGTACTTGTGCACTTTCACAGAAATACTTCAATATTTAGAGCCTGTTTGGTAGCACGAAAATCGGTTGTTTTGGCTGATTCTGCTGAAATTATGAAGTTCTGGCTGAAGTGGCTGCATTGCCTGATTCTGCTGATACAAGAAAAAAATATTTTTAAAATATATTTTATTAATAAAATAAAGAAAAAATTATATGTAAAAATAGCTAAAATGATCATCTACGGTAACTTCAGCCAATACAGCCAGAAAAATAACTTCAACTTTACTTTTTCGGCTTATTACACAATTCAACGCGCGAAAGCAAAATTTACGTGTTTGGTAAAAAAGTTGGATGATAAGCCTGATAAGCCGAAAATGAGGGTTGCCAAACGGCCTCTTAATTTGTTTCTTCTATTGAACGAATAGAACAGATTTAGGAAATATATCCAAACACCCCCTTAGACAATATGAGTTTACTTAAAATGTTCCACTAAGGTGGTTTATTGAAACAGATCAATTTTATAGTCTTTTGATTTTGATTCTTGAGGCGTTCTATCTATCATCCCATTTTTTCTTAGGGTTTATTCGACTTTACTATCACAGTAATATTGACTTGAGATTCAATTGAGGTATTATTTGATTGACAATTTTCGATTTGCTTTGTAAAACCAGCGGAGGTGAGAAAGGAGAAACTGAGCATAGCTATGGCGGATCCATATTACAAGGAAATATGAGCTGCAACGCAAATTATGATCATCGTCAGCTCCACCCGAACTCGGAGGAGCAGTGGAGATCACCGGGAGACGCTATGTACTCCGGCGGAGGAGGTAGTTCAGACGACACTTCACCGTGTGATTACGGCCACCAGCCGCCGCCGCAGCAAATCAGCAGTGCAGGGCTGTCGAGATTCACACTATTAGGTCACACCAGGCATGACGACGATGACGATGAGTATCTCGCGACCGGGTCGTCCAATTGTCGGGCGGGTCAAACAACCAGCTTTGACTTGGATTCCTCGTACGGAAACAGTGATCCTTCCGAGATTCTGCAAGCTGGGCTTTTTATATCGTCTAACGTTGGTACGATTCCGACACCGCAACCGCCGCCCAATTTCGCCGCCCGGACACCGGCCCTGAATTTTCTGTACAATAACACTTCCCATTCGAATTATGGCCCCGCCGGGGACGGCGGAGTGATGTCATCTTCGTGGTCTAAGTTCCCGCATCAGTTTCTGCGAACCGCCTCTTCGCCGCCTCTGGAACCACCGCCGCCGCAACAGGCCTCCTTGAATTTTGCTAATAACACTGCTTTCTGGAATGCCACCGCCGCGGCTGCGGTCACAATGAACTCTAGCTTCTTCCCTTCGTTAAATACACAACTTCAAAGTTACATAGCTGCTCATGATGATGGCAAGCCCACGGTAAATAATACACAGTCTTGGCGGAATATTGTGCTGTATGTTTACGTAACTTTGATCATTAATATAAATAATTTTTTATTAGTAAAAAAATAAAAAAAATTAGATTATGAAAATTTACAATGAAACAAGTTTAACAATATTTTTTTCATAAAATAATATTATTACATTAGTAAATAAAACGTAGTCAAAGTAGGTGAATAGTGTAAAAGTTAAAGTATTGCATGGTCTGTCCTTACAACTTTATAAATTTTTCACTTTAATTATACTATTATCCATATATAAGTGATATCATAATTATTGACATTGAATAAATCAAATCGATGCCATAAAAAAACATAAACGTTTCATGCCCGTACTAATTTAGCCAAAATAATTTTACTTGATAACTCCACTTTCACGAGAAATTAAAAGTAGATAAGTGCAAATTGTTATGCTACCGATTTGCTTCATTAATTAATATTGTGGTATTAAAATGCATTATTACCATTAATTAGGGTAATAATTAGCATTTATATATGCTATTACCGGAGTTTGGGTTATTGACTTTTTTATAGCTAGGAAAATGATTAAGATAGAATTGAAAGTGTGATTTTCTAAATCTCATTATTATGTTTGTTGGATAGGAGTAAGCATTGCCGCCTCAAAATGTACCACGTACAACTAGGTATCATGTTATTAAATTAGGATGTTTTCTTTTAGAGTGAAATTTGCTAATCTGGTCTGGTAGGGTCTGGTTTGATCTGGTCTGGTCGGGTCTAGTCTGATCTGCTCTGGTCTGATCTGGTCTGATAAACGTCCGGTCTCTGTGTATTTTATAATTACGAAAGTCTGGTCTAGTCTGATCTGATCTGGTCTAGTCTGAGACTGAAGACAGTACAAAATAAAACATCCTTAGTAGGCACTAAGAAATGATAATATGATCCTAGTATGATTAATATGGTTTCAATTCATGATGTACTTATTCACATTTAGAGAACACATAAAAATTACTCCTATTTTGAAAAGTTTTCCTTTGTTTTCTGTTTCTTTTAATTTATAGGTATACATTTTTTTGTGTTTCACTTTTAGTTGGTATAATTTTTGTTATCATTTCTATAATTTAACCAAAACTATATATGTGGTGAACTTTTATCTTTTTAGGGTTTTGGATATATGAAATTTTTATACCAATCTCTAAAAATTAAGTCGATTTATATTAGAGTATTACTTTTGAGTTGGTAAAATTTCAAAATAATTCATACGTACGAAGTACTTAAGACTATTTTTTTCTATGTATGGAATTAATGGTAAATTTTTTGAAGCCTATGAAATTCAAAAGTCTAGGTGTATTGAATCTTGATTCTTTAAATTCCATAAAAAATTGGTTGTATTCAATTAGAATTTTAAAAAGTCAATAACAAATTCAATTATTTCATTTCTCATTAAGAAATGAAATAATAACATATTTATAACTAAATAAAGAGGGCGGATAAAAATGTGACCTTTAACTATAGTGACTATAATAGTAACTCTTACCGATTACCTTTGTATTCAATTTTTGCAGTTCAGTGAGCATGATATCATACTCAGCCAATTTTATCATATTTTTGTCAATTAAGTTTTATTTGAATAACATGTGTTGGAAAAATCTCATAAGATATCCCTATATCTTGAAAGTGGATGCCACTAAAACATGTTTAGTTTTTTTTTACCTGAGAGTTCTGGAGGCGGGGGATGGAGGGGATGAGTAAACTCGGATCAAACTAACTTCATTGAGTATTGAATTCGGAACCTCCCATAAGAGAGTGTGAGTCGGCGACCAACTGAGCTGGAACGCTTCCTTAAACATGCTAAGTTTTTAAAGTTAAAATTGCCAAATCATAGAACTTAACTCCCACACATTATATGGGCCTTTTACATCTCTCTCAATGTAATGGAAACCGAAGTCATTATGTTTTTACTTGGACTGTTTTCAACCCCAGATCAGACCAGAACAAACTTAAACAATCCAGACCAGACTTAAACAAAACAGTCTAGATCTGACCAGACTTAAACAGACCAGACCAGACTTGACTTCCGTAGTTATAAAATACACAGAGACCAGACCAGTTCAGACCAGACCAAACCAGACTAGACCAGATTTAAACAGACAAACCAGACCAGACTTAAATAGACCAGACAAGACCAGGCCAGACTTGACTTCCATAGTTATGAAATACACAGAGACCAGACATTTACCAGACCAGACCAGACCAGACTTAAACAGTTAAGACCAGACTTGACTTCCGTAGTTATAAAATACACAGAAACTAGACTTTTACCAGATCAGACCAGTTCAGACCTGATCAAACCAAACTAGACCAGATTTAAACAGACAGACTAGACCAGACTTAAACAGACCAGACCACACCAGACCACACCATCAAATTACGGTCCATAAAAACATCCTCAATAGTAATGAATGTCGAAGCAAGTTATGTGTTGTCTCCTAGTCCTGCAATTGTTTTTGGTTGATCTCTAGTCTAGTAATATAACATATACACTAGTTTCCACTAAATAGATGGGTGAATTAATTATATGTGATAATAAAAAGGTACATATAACTAACATGCATTCATTAAAGTTGTAAAAGTTGAAAGATCAATATTAAAATGTCATTGTATTATCGATAGTTCAAAGATAAAAAGTGAAAGCTATGCACCAAACTTGGATGATTAGTAGTGAAACATTTCAATGACTTGATTAGCTTGTCTTTGTTTAATTATTAATATGTTGAGGTTAATTATGGTGAAAGGTAGCCTCTTCAATTAGCGCTAATTATGCCGCATATATGTACACTAATTGTTGTTTTACGAAAGCAGAATGCATCATCAAATATGAAAGAATTAGGTACACCATCATCATCAGCAACAGCAGAAAAAAGGCTGATGAGCAATGAAACCTCCTCCGGCAAAAGGCCTCGGAATAATGAAAACCCATCACCGCCCGTCCCACCTTTTAAGGTATGTACGTATTTTTGTATGTTTAAATTTGATATTATTCGTGCGAATTAAGTAACGTTGTCTACCTTTTCCTTCCCTTTTCTTATTCAATGATCGATATCTGGTATTATTTTATTACTGTTTTGTCTGAAATGATGAAACTATCCCCTCTCTGCACATTATTAGCACGCTTTCAAAAAAAGTAGATCTTGCATGCTTATTACAATGAGACATTGAGACTGAAAATATAGTTTATGTTCAACTCATCGAAAAGGAGTATTTGTCATTCAATTCTTCTTATTTGACATAAGGAGATTGAGCTGAGTTAGTGACGAAGACAAGTGAAACCAAGCATTCCAGCTAAGCCGGTTGCGAAGTTATCGTGCCTAGTGAGAGATTTCGAATTCTAATTAAACTCGTTAGGCACATAAAAGGGTTTGAAACTCAATGGAGTGAGTTTCAGCCCTGATTACTCCAGGCAGTGGCGGCTTGAGCAAATCAGAGGCCCTAAACATAAAAATATTTACTATGCACAAATCATATCGGAAATGAGATAAATTTAATAAAAAAACACAATATGAAAAAAGGCATATTCAAAGTGCTACATATAAAATTTTAGTATTCAAAATGATAAGTTTTTAATCATATATAAATACACTATTGGCTGTCATCATATTTTAGTCAGGGCCGGTTCTGGGGCATGGACAAGGGAGCGTGCGCCCAGGGCCCATTGCTCCTGTAGGGCCCATAAATTTACCAGCTATACATATATTTAAATTATATATCTATAAACTTTTAAAAATAAAATAAAAATTTATAATTTTTATACTTCCAATTCATTAATTATTCAACAACATCTAGATGCTACAAGTCTAAAATTTTGAAACATCTACACCAAAATTTATTGGGAACAAACTTCACAATTCTACTCATTCATAAAATGTTAGTGCATAAAAGTTAATCTTTTCATCTACTTCTCTCATATAAACACATGATTGATTCATAACAATTTACTAATTTTCTTTTGATTCACTCATTTAAGTGAAATATTAAACTATAGTATAAAGAATTTAGAAATTTGTAGTTTATTTTAGTCAAGTGAAAATAATGTAATTTGAAATATAAAAACATTACTTCATGTATCATATAACATTCATGTCTATGCCTAACTCGTTTTTTTATTGCAAGTAACAATGATACTACTTTTTCATTTGACAAAATTCCTTAACTTTAAATATAGGTTTTTACAAGAAAAATAAACATTCGCATGTTCTTAAGGGCCTACTCTATCTATACTGTCCCGGGTCCATAAAATGTCAGGACCGAGCCTGATTTTAGTCCAAAGTAATACAGAGTACTAACAATTATTTTGAGGCCCCTTTGGCTTGGGAGGCCCAAGGCACTTGCCTGGGTGAACTCCCCCCAAAGCCGGTTCTGACTCCAGGCCCCCCAGCCCCCTCCCCCAGACCCCTGGCGTAAAAAAAAGACAAGTGAAAATTAGAACTAGTTTGTGCCTTTATGTGTACGTGGAATGTTTTGTAAGAGTTTCTTTGAAGTACTTAGTATATTACTCTACTATATTATCAGTATATATTTTATGAACAAAATATAACTTTACTCTCATCATTATACTATTGTATGTATCTCACTACCGGCCATCACTAAAATGTACTCCATTCATCCTCTACTTTTATCCTGTTTTACCTTTTTCGTCCATCCTATTAAGTTTGTCCAGTACCATATTTGGTAATATTTGTGTGATTACAATTCATTCTTACTTTATTCACTTTATTAATTCAATATCTACCACACAATTCTACTTTTTTAAAAAACGACACCATACTCTTTTGTCCCAAACTTAGGGAGATATCAATGTATTTAAGAGCTACTACAAATTGAAGTACTATGTTTTTTTATTTTCTTTCTTTTTTTCTTTTCTTGAAATAGAAGTAGATTAGTGACATGTTCAAATCATTCTCACTTGCTATGGCATTATACAAAATTAACATCACGATATGACTATTTTATGAGGTAATTTTTGACAGTAACTACTCCTATTTAGGGGAAACCGTTTGTTTTTAATAGACAAAGTAAGCCGTACTATTTTTTATATTCTTTAAGAAGTAACTAAATACTTCGTAGGACTCAATTACGTACACTCTTGATCTATATTATTTTGTTTGCATCGCTTTCCTTTTTGAGATGTGCTTTAACTTTTGATATACCTATCCTTTTTTATAACTTTACCCTTTAAATAGTGTTAATCACATTACTTTTCTATTTTTCCATCTTTCTCTTTAATAATTTTCCACCGTGTCTCCTAATTTTTCTGCATATTCATTACCTCCATACAGGGAATATTACTTTTCCCTGAAATATTGTGTCAAACTCTATTATAGCAAACGATAATATATATACAGAGGGAGTATTTGAAACCAGGGGCGGAGCTACTTTGAGTGTTCACATGAACACTCAAAGCTTTTAAAAATGTCATAATATACACCAAAATGAGAAGTGTTCATTGAAGTTTTAATTGTAAAAGTGTTTGAACACCTAAATGAAAATTCCAAGTACTGTCTAAACCCCTAATTCTATCATCATATTTTCCATCTCAGCTCTCCTAGACAAACCTCCTAACTTTAACATCCACAACCTAGCTTTCAACCGCCATATTTTTTTATTCTTAACAAGTCGATCACTAGAATATTCACAAGGAAAAGCATCTACGTAACAATTGCATATTTGCATGTGAGACAAAGTCACTGACGCACGATTTTTAGCACGTTCAACATGTTTTACAGAACAGATCTCTCGATTTATGGAGCCCCAATTTTTTTAAAAAATATTATTATTACATAGTAATAATATATATTAATACTAATCAGTAAAAGTATTCAATTGATTTCAGTATAAGTATTTAGATTGTTTTTTTTATATATATTGATATGGGCCATGATTTTACATTTGGAAGGAGGCCTCAAAATTCCCGACGACGGGGTTTATCACAATAACTAAATAAAACTGATATGTTAAGTTTCTTTTTAGAAAATTTAAATGTAACCTAATTTGCATCTATGAGCATTTTCAGTAATATTGGAGGGAAACTCGCAACATTAATTCTTTAGTTTTATTTGTTTTTAATTAAGTTTGTGTTGCATAGATATGATATCAAAGGAAAACTTGCAACATTAACTCTTTAGTGTTATTTGTACTGCGTATTAGTTTTGTGTTATACACACATTTTCTATCATTATAAATTAATTTCAGTAACATAGGGGTGTTTGGATCTGATTTTTAAAACTTCTTCTGCTCCCTAGAAGGTGGACTGTTTGGGTGAAAGTGCAGAAGTGATTCTGGTGATCTAATTTACTCATAGAATCAGTTTTTTTTAGAATCTGGAGGGAACCAGCTTCTGAAAACTGATTCTGATTCTGCTTCTACTTTAAAAAAGAAGCAGAATCAGAATCAGAATTTATTTTGTAAAAGTTAATGCAATGAAAAGGTGAAATGGATATAGATCGAGAAGGGGTATATTCTTTTGTTTTACTGGGTGTTTATTTGTGTAGCCACTTTAGACGTATTTTCTATATTACAGTATGCTCATACTTTCTATGCTCACGTAAAAACTACGTTTATATAGATATATAGTAACCCTATAAGGTATGCTTTTTATTAGCCTTTGAGGCTTTGACAATAAAACGAATAAATGGTTGACAATTAAATTTTGTAAGTGTTTAATTAGAATTTGTTCATCATTGCGAGTATTTTTTCTCACTTCGTCTTTACAAGTTTTTATAGAGAAATTACCCAAAATAGGACTAAAACCGTTTGTATATTCCGAAATAGGACTATCATATTTTTATTCCCAAAATAGGACTAATTACTGTCATGTTTTGGCAGTACCAGATTTTAAACATGACAGTATTTTCTAAACTTGACAGTAATTACTCATATTTTGGGAATAAAAACATGGCAATCCTGTTTTGGAATTTTCAAACCTTTTTACTCCTATTTCGAAAATATTTTGGAATTTTCAAACTTTTTTACTCCTATTTCAAAAATTTTCCAGTTTTCATATGATGAGATGCAACTAAAATACGACTACGCACAATATTTCTGTGCAGGTAAGGAAAGAGAAGATGGGAGACAGAATCACTGCGCTCCAACAATTAGTTTCGCCTTTTGGAAAGGTGAAAATATTTTATTAGTATTTCTCAATTTCTCTTCATTTTTTTTCAAAAAAAAAAACTCTTTATCCGCTTTCAATTCACATTTCACACCTCACAGTTTGGCAAATTATATGTACCTCAAAGCACAGGGATCAATAAGAATATTATGATTGAATAATTTAAATATAAATAAATGATAAAATAATGATTTGGATCAATTAGATCCTCATATGTACGATATCCTCATTTTTTTAGTGTAGTGTTCACATGAACTTTTTTAGTGGGGCTGGAAGCCTGGAATTGAAGTTAGTTAAATAAGAAAAATAAAAAAATTAGACTAAAAGAGTTAAGAAAAAATAGGTTGCACTTAGATCCTCCGATCCCCTGGTTGTCTTTATTAAAGAGCGTTTATTTGCTTGTGTTTGTGAAGAGTAACTTATTTAAGACGACAGTGCCAATAACATTCAAGCCTTATTGCCAAAAGAGATTACAGGAACTTATTTGTGAAGAATGACTAATTTAAGAAAGGAAAAGAGATTGTCGGCCCGCTAACAATAATCCCAACTATTGATTATTTTTGTATAATCCCATTTATATGGATCGTCCGTCAATAATAGTCCATTACCGCATATTAACTGCTGTAACAAATTAATTTTTAATAGAAATTAAGCGTAAAAATTAAAATCATGGATTATATATAGGGATTACCTGCTATATCTCTTTAGAAACTATATAAATTTATATATAGTCAGTCACGTCGGACCATTATTGACAGAAGGTCCCTAAAGTTGGGATCATTCTGAAATAATCGATAGTTAGGATTATTATATATAAGCGGACCGCCAATAGTTGGGATTATTACAATAAATTTTTCCTTTAAGAAATTATTTAAAGATAATTGATATTAAAAACTAAAAATTGAAATGTTTGATGAAAATGAATAATTTGTGTAAAGAAAAAGTGAAAAAGACTTTAAAGTCCTTTTCACATTTTCAATACACAAATAATACTTTTTTATTATTAAAAAAATATTTCTTTCAGAAAAAAATGTTACTTACTTTTTCATCAAACATATCAATTTCTGTTTTACAATATCATTTTTTTCAACTTTAAATTGCTTAATTTACATTTCCAAAGTAAAAAGCGGAAAAGTATACTTTTTAGTTTTTGTAAACACATTAATTTTTATTGTAATACCTTAGCGCAATTTGTCTCACTTTTTTTTTATTGTAATACCTTAGCCGTAAATTTTATAATCAAGTTGGCATAATTCAAGTTTTAGCAAGCACAAAATTTAACTTAATGTAGGCAGTCCAGACCGGTTTATAAATAATGTATAATCAATTAATCATATATCGTAATCAGTGTCAAGACGGTTAGACGGATGTGAGAAATCTCACCCCACAAAAGAGTCGTTCTCACAGTTATACAAAAAATTACTCCGTATATTGTAATGAATTGTATCGTATTATCTTTTTTTTTTGAAAGGGTATTGCATTATCTTTTAAAAAAATAAAATATGGGATTTTTAGTGAAAATCACCTCACAGTTTTAGAAGTAAATATAATTATAAGTCGCAGTCACTCGAAACTTCTTTATAACCTAACCCACTAGATCCGGTTCATTGACTCAAAAGAAGCCAGAGTCTCTTTGTAATGATTACCGACCTAATACTCCGAAGTAGTTTAGATCATAATTTAGGAAAATGGGAATTAAGTAAAAATGTATTTTCTCATCCCTTAAAACTCTGTCATCTTTTTTTTTGTGACGTCCTAAAAAACTTTGTCACTTTTTCTTTTAATCAACTATTTTGTGGCTGCACAAACCTCAATCAACCACATAGTTTTTACTTTAGTGTTCTCCGTGCTAGTCAACTTTGGCAAAATTTTAAGGGACGAAGGTAATATGATTTTTAGGACGTGGTTAGGGGAGGGTCATTTCTAGCTCTGACCTAGCCCAAATTTTAAAAATGTCTATATTTTAGGGTAAAAAATTACGTGTAAATTTTTTTTCCAAAAAATAGTCTTTGTACCGGCTCAGTGTCCTGGCAGGCCCTTGATGATTGTGGTTGAATAAGAAAAATGTAAGTGAATGATGGCCACACAAAACTTTCCAAAACTGAAAATGAGAAGAATTTGTTGGGACGTCTCAAAAAGGAAAGTGAGAGTAAATCTGAAACCAACGTACGAGTTGCATTGTATTGGTTGATACATACCGTAGTATACTAGTATATCTCTATGTATCTGTGTATTATTTACGTGTCTTTAATTTTAGGGGGTGTCTTGATCTATTCTCAGAGAGCAGAAGTAGATATTGGATTGTTAGAGTGAATTGAAAATGAAGAAGTACTTCTGAATGCTCCAAATTGTTCGTAGAAGTTGTTTTTAGAAGCTGGGAGATGTCAGCATCTCAAAAATTGATTCTGATTCTGCTTTAGAAAAAACAGAAACATAATCAATTCCAAACAAATCTTGCAAGATATTTGGATTCACATGCTATCTTTTTCTTTATGAATTGCAAAAAGAATCTAGCTTTTTATGGAAGAAATACTGTATTATACTATTGTGAGTGTTGGATGGGATGATTAGCTTTGCGAATTCTTGGAATTGACACAACTTAACAAAAAAGTCTATCGTCCATTCATTCATTTATATAAACTAATCTGATTATCTGAATATCAATTCATATATAATTATCTGTTTCAGACTGATTCAGCATCCGTCCTCACTGAAGCCATTGACTATATCAAATTCCTTCATGATCAAGTCCATGTAAGCGTCCCCTCCATTTTATCGGAGCCCGACAATATTTACATTCATAATATTACGTACTATTTAAGGTTTAAAACTCGTTTGATAATACTGAAATTGGTTTAATTTGTTGAAAATATATGAAACTCTTACTCCAATGGTTGCATTAGTTGAAAAAGTTATATTCAAAACATATTTTATTATTAAAATAAAAAAAATTATATGAACGAATAGCTAAAAATTATTGAATGTGCCATTAATTTGTTTTGATGATTAAAATATTAAATGTTAACCGCACAATACATGGGTTAGTTTTTTGAGTTAGTTTTTTATAGAATAAAAAACAATACACCACGTCACTAAGGCACCAATGTTAAAGTTAAACTACCAAATAAGCCCTCCAACATTTTAATAAAAAGTGCAAATAAGCCTTTTTATAGGAGACTCTGTCCGGCCGTCGTCATTTAGGGTGGTTTCCGGTGGAATTTTTTTATGAAATTTTTTGAGCATCTTCTTCACTAAGTCTAATTTACTCATATCAAATTTCAGATAAAAATTCAATCGGGAAGGCAGTCAAATGAAATTTTGAAGATAACTGCGCAGTTAGACAACACAATATATTCCAGAAAATCATTTGACTGTCTTCTCGATTGCATTTTTAGATGAAATTTGGTATGGGTAAAACTAGATTTAATGAAGAAGATGATGAAAAAATTTCATTAAAAAATTCCACAGAAAACGGCCCCAAATGGTGACAGTCGGACTAAACCTCCTGTAAAAGGACTTATTTGCACTTTTTATGAAAGTTTGAACGTTTATTTGAGAGTTCTCCAAATTTTAAATAAAATAAGCTGCGCGCACAGTCATCTGGTGAGTAATAAAGAGAAAATTATTGATTTTGCTAATAATTTATGTATGAACCCACTATTAATTTGATAATCATACTCACTTGCAAATCATACGTACGTAGTATTGTGGAAGTAACCCTTAAATTTGCCTAGAACGTCTATACGATCATGTATGATTCCAGCTGAAAAATATCATACCCAATAGGCCTTTTCCTAACTTTATGTCATGAAAGTTGCTTCCAAATCAAGGTAAAAAGATCATTAATTTGATAACTTGTACGTAGTATATGACAGACATGATATAAAGTGAATGAAGTAAATGTATAATAATTTAATGAAGTTTTAAATTTTACCAAGGGGTGGAGCCAGGGAGAGACTGGCCCCTGCAAGAAAAAACTTCTTAAGTATATAATGTATTATGTACAAATACTTTGAATTTAGAGAAAATATGTTGATATTTTAAACTTTGTCCCCCACAATGTAAAATTCTCAAAGTTAAGCCCCTTATCTATATAGATTTCTGGCTCCGCCACTGATTTTACGATATGTTGATATTCATAAAATGATGGAAACCCATTAATTTCTTTTTAGTCAATACTATTATATTTTGCCACAAGTAAATATAAATTGTATAAACGCTTTCATCCTAAAAAGTAAAAACTTGTAGAGATGCATGGTAGTATGGTACAATTATTTTGCCCTGATTCAAGTTACAATTATTAAAACTGCAGATACTGAGCGCCCCCTACATGAAAGCTGGATCTGCCCTGCAGCATCAACGGGTAATTAACCTGAAAATCGCTACTTTATTTTTTCCCTTCATTTCATTAGCTCGCCTCATTTCACTCAAATAAATGACACTTTTTTATTATGTAGTGCATGCTTAGCAGACATAAGATCAAACCTTCTAGTGTTTGTATCACCTAGATGTATGTTTAGTTTTTCTATCATATGCAATGAAGACAAATACTCATTACTTTTTGGGTTAGGAATATGATGGAATAAAGAAAAATGGTTCAGTAAACTATTTGCGCTTCTTTTTTATAAAGCAGCAGCCAGTTAGTCCATGCAATTTTCGACGTGATTTTCATTGTGGGTCATCTGAAAACATTCTTTCTGTGCTTTAGTGCAGGGGTAAAACTGCTTACATCCGACCCCCTCTTACCCCACCACAGGTGGAACCTTTGCGACACTAGGACGATGATGAATTAAAAAAAAGTTGTATGCTTAGTATGCTAATTTTTAAGATCTTTTATCAAATCAAAAGATCTACATTTAGATGATACGACATTGAGTAGCATATGAGAAAAGTCAATACTTTTTGAGAGATTTCCCAAAATAGGAGTAAATGAAGTTTGAAATTCCAAAATAGGACTACTTTGTTTTTATTTCTGAAATGAGACTAACATGGCAGTATTTACTGTCATCTTGTAGCCGTGACTGCCAAATAGTTGCAGTACAGTACATTTGACATGACAATATATATTATAATTAATGACAGTATTTTTCAATCATGGAAGTTTTTTTTATACACATGACAGTAATAACTCCTATTTCGGGAAGAAAAATATACTAGTCCTATTTTTGGAATTCCAAGTGTTATTTGCCCCTATTTTGGATAATTTCCCATAGTTTTTAGCATTAATGAGTCCCAAGAGCTTGTACCAAACAAAACTAAATCAAAAAATAAGTTTTTTTTATCAAATAGATACTACCTTTTTCTTTTCATTCACTAAAATTGGGCTCTGATTCTAACTAGTATTGTATTACCTAGACTCAATGAATAAGAATTCTTAACAAGGAATTGCTCTAAATTGGATAAAAACATAGATAGAATGTACTTCATATAGGATTATCCATGTTTTATTATCAAAATATGACTTATCTGATCCCATTAAAAGTACAAACCTTCTCCAATTAAAAAAAAATAGTTTCGAAAAATAATCAAAATTTTATTTGTACATATATATTTTGTCTATGTTTTATTATTATTTAAAGAATTTCTCCTTGTGTAATTGGTTCAGATGAGCTCAGAAAAATGTGAGGTAGGAGGGGCGGCAGCACGGCCACAAGACCTTAGGAGGCGAGGATTGTGTTTGGTGCCCATTTCCAACACTTTCCCTGTGACGCACGAGCCGTCGACAGCTGATTTTTGGAGTCCAACTGCATTTGGAACAACTTTAAGATAATTAATTAATTTTAAAAAGCAAAGAATGTCTTATATATATTTATAACTAATTTAATCTCGATCAAACCCAACCTTGTAGTGTTAATCCATGGATGGTCAAGATTGATTTGAGTTATCTGGTTTGTCCGAATCAATCTGGATCATCCCAGTGACTAATTCTACATATTAATTACTGTATTAATTACTACCGACTTATTGTGTTGTAATAATTAAAGAGTGATGATTAAAGTTAAGTTAGGTAGACATTGCTAATTCATCATTAGTTTACTGAAAAATTGTTCTTTCTAGCTTAATTGGTTGAACTTAAAGAAGTTTTTACTTATTTTTTTTCTTTTTATTTATTTCCTGTACTCAATAATTAATCGTGTTTTTCTCCTGTGCAGAGGGGTTACACTGTACCTAATTTAATTTCAGTAAGTGAATGATAAAAAGAGGTAGTGATCGAATCAAGAAGATATTCGCATTAGGTCTGGGATCGGTTCGGTTCTTGTTAAAATTCGATGGAACCGTATTAAAAATTAGAGACGCTAAACGATTAAAATCCATTAAAATTCATATATAGTAACATTTTTAAACAATACATACATTGTTTGAAAGTAAAACGTTAACCGAACATGACTCTCTTTGACCTTAGCAAACTAATCTATGACAGACTCGACGTTGATTTTGTTGACAAATTCCTTTTCAATAAAGATGGTCTAACGATCAGCAAGAAATTCATCTTTCATCTTGTTACGAATTTCATTATTCACGTGTTTCATTGCAGAAAATGATCTTTCTGTTGTTGCAGTCGAAACAGGATGATAAGGGATCCAAGCATCAAATAACATCACCTATATTTCAACTCTTTTCTCTAACACCCAATCACTTATCATTTTGCATTTTTCCTAATCCTACTCAATTTCAAGTGCATTAGAAATTACTTCCTCTTGAGCAGAGGATATAAGGAGTTTCAATTGAGACATTTAACGCTTGTCTTATTGTCTACTTTGTCTGCTTGTACTAGGTTTATAAAATGAACGCAAAGTGATTTTTGCCTTTTTGGAAGTAGATTGAGTAGCCATACATACCTACTAAAATTACCAAAAAAATAAAAAACTAATCAATACTTTATTTTAATTCATATTAATATTTTAAAAAATTCACAAATAACATTTGACATTCCTAATTTTCTATTTCACAATTCAAAGCACACAATTACACAAATTAATTGTGACACACTAATCACTAACAAAAACTAATTTAACAAATAAAGTACTTAATTCATCTAAAAATTGTAAAAACAAATATAAAAAACCTTACCCTCTGCGGCTGCCGGCTCTGCTTGAAGAGTTGAAGGAGTTGAAGCAGCGACCTTGAAGAGAGGAAAAGAAGAAGGTGCCGGCTTCTGGAGTCCAAGAGAGAAGAAGACCGCCGTCGCCGCCCCGCCAGTCAAGCACTCTGCAGTCTGCACACTGGACTCAAGCCATAGCGAGCGCGGAGCAGCTTAGGGTGCGTCTTCGGGCCTCTGGCGAGTCAGTGAGCAGCTTAGGGTGCGACGTGCGTCCGGCGATTACTGATTACAATTGATGCAGTGATGAGTTGGAGCTGGACTGTTTTTTGTTTGGGCCATAAATTTTTACCCTTGGCCAGTTTTCTTTTTACACTGGGCCAATTTTTAAAAATAAATTTAAACTATATACGTAGTATATATAATTACAAAAAAAATTACCCTGGGCTATGGCCCAGCCAGGCCCACCCCTCCCTCCGCCCCTGCTTCTACTAGTAATGCACCATAAGCAAAAAGTACGTAATAATAAACAGACCAGTAATACTTGTAATTTACTATGAACAATTAACAACATAATCAGTGGAATACTATTTCAATTCCTTATTGTGAACTCAAACAACAAATACAATCACAAACAAATAATAAATATTAAAATCGACTAAAGTAGTAAAATAACAACTGCTCGAATTGGTGTGATCCACAATAGGTATATTATGCAAGACAAATATTGCTGACAAGAAATTTTTTCCCGGAACGTCGTCTGGCCACCTCCATTTCGGGTACAATTTTTTGATGATATAATGTGCGCATGTTCTGCATGAAGTGTAGATTACATCCACCAAATTTCAGCTTAAAATGCAATCGGAAGTGAGTTAAATAAAATATTGAAAAACATTGTGTTTTTTATATGTATTTTGACGTAGTGTTTTTCAATAATTTGTTCCACTAATATCCCGATTGAATTTTAAGCTCAAATTTAGAGGACATAATCTACATTTCATTGAAAACAAGTTCACAGAATTTCATCAAAACATTCCACCTAGAAGCACCTCAAATGAAGATTACTCATGCAATGTATAAGAAGTTCGATTCCTGTCTAGGAACCGGAACCGAACTGGAACCGAACCGGAACCAAACCGGAACCGAACCGATCATATACCATAGGAACCGAACCGAAAAAAGATGAAGTCCAAAATTATAGGAACCAAACCGAACCGGAAAATCAGTTCGGTTCGGATCGGTTTTCCCGGTTTTACGGTTCCAAGTCCCGGGCCTAATTCGCATGGATCTTTTCTTGCACAATTGCGGCGGCTCTTTTCCTAGAGCATTTGGGGGTGGTTTTCATTTCTCACTTATGTTTATTGCTGATTTCTACTCCAATTACATTTCTTAAATTTTTATGGTAAAAACATGTCTTAGTTTTTGTGCATAGTGTCATGCTATTTTATCATTTATATTGTTGATTTTATTTCTTCCCAATTTATCTTTCATGGGCATCAATTTTCCTCTTTATAATACTCCCTCTATATTTGAAATTTGAAAGTTATGTACAATAAGTTTGGACACACCATTTAAGACTGAAATGGTACAGATAATGAATAGTGTAAAAAAATTATGAGAAATTGTGGAAAAGTATGAAAGAGAAAATAAAAAGTAACAGTAATTGCAAATTTTAAATGAAAAACTTACTAAAATTTGAAAATGTAGCAAAATTTTGAATACATTTAAAGAAGGAAAGTCTAGCAAAGTTTAAAATACTAAGGGAGTTTAAACTTCACTGAGTTGTGAAGTTTATTTATACTTAGTTAGATGGTGATTCTTTTTATGTTAATGATGTGAGTTTTCTCGCACTGAAAATAGATTGTAGAATAGTGGTGTAAGTACGAGTATCGTTTCCACAGGGACGGATAAATGGGAATCAAGAATTAAATAAATTCAGCGATTAAAAATAAATAAAATAAATAAGTCGTGCGAGATTTGATTGATTGGGAAAATTAACTTGCAATTAACGACGAAGGGAATAGAGATTGATTCCGGGGTAACTAGATTTCTGGCAGATTAGGTCTAATTACATGAAATTAATTTAATTGAGCATAACTAGTCATTACTAAGTTCTTACCGCTCTCGCGGCGTAGAATACAATAATTTAGGGAACCAGGCTGATCTCTCATGCGACAGGATCCTAAACTATTGCCAAGACGAGCGAGCTTACGGCCCCTTAATCGCAACTAATCTCTTAGCGAGCGATTAAGTGTGTGTGAATGTGTCCTAGAATAAATTAGATCTATATTAACTTATTCTACAAGCAATTGTAATTCTAGCGCGCGTTCTAGGTTACAAGAGATATCGGTTAAATTATTCAAACACAAATTAAACGGCATTCATGCAATTAATCCATCAAGAATCTATCCATACATCATGATTAATCCCTTCATCAATCCCAAATCCCTAATTAAACTACTCACAATTCATAATTGAAGAATCAACATAATTGGGCTGAATAGAATTAATTGTCATTAATTAAAAAGATGGAACTTACAAAGAATCTCAAAAAATTGATGAACAAGGCTGAAAAGCTCTCTAAATTTCGTGCTAGGTGACGAGCACTTTGTCACGGTGCGTCAAAATAAATTCAATACTATCACTAATACGTAGTATAGCGTAGTAGAGTTCGTATCCACAGGGAAAGGAATAATTCTCTTTTTATGAAACTTAGTAAATAAAGGGGGGGGGGGGGGGGGGGGTTTGGATTGAGTGATTTAATTTAATTAAAAACTAAGATGAACGACCTATATGAGATTTAATTCAAAGATAAAAAGGACTTGGCATTGCTACTTTCCACTTGTTGATATATTTTAGTCGATCATTGTTATATCTATAACATATTCCCTCTCGAATACTCAATCGGGGAGTATATCCACTTCATCGAGGGTAGTTATTAACAACGACCGTTCATTAATAACCCTTACTATTAATCAAATATAGAACAACGCCTTATACCGATTTAATAGTAGCATTTAATCTTTCTAACTCCTTGATGAAATCAATTGAGATTGATAACCTCAACACAAGCGGTTTCGGTTTAACCAACAAAATTAATCCCACTTAAGTTTATTAACCACGACCGTGCATTAATAAACCGAAGTTACTTACTTGTGAAACCATCAACGGTTAACCATCGGTTCGTTGATCGTTTCTAGTAATAATTAATATATGAAACAAAACTAGTTGATCCTTTTAGTAATGTTCAAAATATTAATATGAAATAAGAGTAGGGATTAATTAATATTCAAGGAAGAATATTATTAAAGAAGATGAATCCTACTATAATTAATATCAATATGTTAACTAATTGTCATCTTAGCAACACTACCCAACATTAATATAGAGGAAGAAAATACCATTCTAACTAATGTCGAGATGTTAACTAATTGTCATCTTAGCAACACCCCCAACATTAATATAGAGATGATATTAAGGAAAGAACTATTAATTAATATTCAATGAAAGAAGTTAAGAAAATAACTCACAACTTTAATAATCAACAAGCTTCAAGAGCAACACCAAGAATGGAAGTTTAGCTCCTCATTTGGAGACTAAACATAGCTAGAAAAATATAAAGAAATGCTATTCTAAACTGAGCTAAAGAGTATGGAAGAAGGGATGATGAAAAGTGAAGGAAAATGGGGTTATTTATAGGTGTTTTCAACACCTAATGCCGGATACCCGGCCGGGTATTTTGACATACCCGACAAGAATATCAATACAAAACATCCAAGAATGTTTTTACCACAATACAAAGCATCCCCAATAATAATTAAAGTAAATTGGGGTCTTCAACTTCATCTTTATCTCCATTTCTCTTTTGAACTTATCACCTTCAAGATCATGCAAAATAGACATTTCTCTCATTCTCTCGTTTTGCCTGGGGGCCCTTTCAGGTTTTCATCCCAGCTTCCCACATTTTTTTTTTATTTCTCACAACCTCACTCTATATTTTATTGCTTTAATTTTTGC